TTTCTGTTTCTTTTCTTCTAATTTTTCTGATCAGGTACACTGTTGACGGTGAGCACTGATGTAAAACACACACCACTGCTTGAATAAAATCCATTTCAGACACCGGGTGTGAAATGGGGAGGGGGCGACTGAGCAGAGCGGGCAGGGGAAGGTGTGAAGTTAGAGCACTCCCAGCAGCGGCGGAGTGGCACCACCCGCCAGCGCTGTCCGTGGAGGGTGCTCCCGCCCGCCCGGTGCTGCCGCCTGGCCTCTCTACCTGCCGTGTTCCCCAACCCCCTGGGTTGTCCTCCCCTCCTCCGGCTCCTCTGACTGCTCCCTCGCCGTCACCCTTAGCTGCTTCTTCCGCGACAGGGCCCGGGGAACCCCCTGCGCTGGGTCACCGGGGATGGTCCCCGAATTCGGTGGTCAGGGATCTGGAGCCGCGGCTCCCAACGTTTGGAGCTCATCGGTTCGGATCGTTTTAGGATCCATGCCTCTCTTTTCCCTTCACATATGCCAAGAGCCCCCTTTAGTATAGTATGTTTATTATGGGTACAACCTGACCTCTAACTTCTACCTTGAAGCCCATATCAGAAAGAGAATGGGGCCAGGTTTTCTGCCTGTTGGGAGGGGGTGAATCTTTGCATCCTCTTTCCCTACTCTGTGGAGGATCTGCTCCTAACCCCAAATTGTAAGAAGATCCTTTATACTTGTAAATAGTTGGGGGGGGGGAGGGGGGAGGCATTTTACAGATTTTTTTTTTTTTTTTAAGAATAGACTGGACCTCTATTCACGGCAGGTTAGTTCATTTAATCCTAGACCAAATCTTCCCCAGGAACAGTGTTAATTGCATAAAAATTTCATGCAAGCACTTTTCATTTTTCTCCTAATAAAAATCTACTCTGGAATGAATGGCTTAAGCGCACATTCACTTGTTCAGAAAGGCGTTTGGGGATTTTCACTGTGCCCCTCCTGACTCTTCCTTTCAGTTGGATATTTGCACATCTCATTCCCTCTTAACAGAAAATACAAATTCTTTATTCACAGAGAGGGAAGTGCTTTTAAGTCAGAGGTAGGTTTAGGATAATCAAGTTTATCCCATTTAGGGAAGGTGTGAAAGGGGCGCATAAAATCCCTGCAGAATGTCTAATTGATGTCCCTTTATCCAGTGCTCACTGTTTCCTACAGCCGAGGACAACTTCACAACCCCCTCTCAATGCCCAGCCCTCAGGAAAGAGAAGGAAAGGGAGAAAGACACCCTCCGGTTAAGTCAGCTTGTGTGCTATTTTTAGCCTTTTTTCGAAGGATAGTGACACATTATTTCGTTTCCAAATATTTCTAACGATTTTCTGCTCAAGTGTAAGATAATGGAGCAAAGAGTTTGTAGTAATGGCAAAGAGCAGGTGGGGGATGGGGAAGGCGTTTTTGATAAACGGTTTGTTGCTCACGGGGAGGGTAACAGTATTTCTGCTGACTCTCCAGGCGGAGATTTTTTTCCCTTTTCTTTCCTTTCCTTTTCTTTTTCCTTTTCTTTTGTCTTTTCTTTTTTCTCCTTTTTTTTCCCTTTCCTTCTCTTTTCTTTCCTTTTCTTTCTTCTCTTCCCTTTCTTTCTTCCTTCCTTCCTTTCTTTTTAAGTAAGATCTGATTTGGACGGCGCTGTTTGGCTCCCAGTGTTGAAGGCTCCAGAGTGGAGCCTTCGCATTTTGTTTTTGTTCAAAGAAAGCGCTTCCCTGCCTCTGCAGGACTGCCTGCTTCATAATAAACACGACGAAGGAAGGGGTTCAGCACTTTTTAGTATAAATAAACCGGCGACTCTCGAAGGGTATATATTTGGGGAAAGCCTTTACCGGCCCCATTCTTTTTCCTGGGGTTCCTCGATTTTAGTCTTCTGAGTGGATCCTCCGGTCGGATTGCCAGGACCCTGCACTTATTAAGAGCATATATTTTAAATTAAGGCACAAGGAGAGTCTCGAAATGCACGCATTCTACCAAGCGTGCCTTTCCTTTCTTTTTCTCGCTTGCTTGCCCTTTGCTGTCCCCTGCACCCCGGCCCGGGCCCCCTTTCCCATTGCGCCCGCTGCTCTTGAACTTGTTTCTGGAGGGGCGGAAGGCGCGGGCTCCCGACCCTCAAGCAGCTCTTCCCAAAGCCCAGGTAAGGCCGAGGGCTCATCCAGGCAGTGGCGGGTCCCCACCTGCTGCGGCGGCCTCGCGGCGTCAAAGCTGGGGTCCTGGGGAGGCGGGGGCCCACCGGGGGCCCAGAGACCCGGGAGAGGGCGAGGTGCGCAGAGCGGAGTAGCGGGGAGCTGTCGCCACCAGCCCGAGCGACTCCTTCACCGACGACGAGGCAGGCAATTTAGAAGACGGCAGGGCGGGGGGAGGGGGAAACATGGAAAAAAAAAAAAATACGGGGGTGCTTGCGAGGCCAAGGTCACGGTCCGGCCGCAGGCGGGCCCCGGGCGTGTGGCCTCTGCGCTCCAGCGCGCTGTGTGTTCTCCGGACTCCCGGGGAGCTTGACGGCCCTGCGCCCGGGCTCCGCGGCCTGCGCTGACTAGGCTTGCCCGCCGGGACCCCGCCCGGCCCCGGGAGGCCGAGGTCATGATCGCAGGCCTGGGCGGCGGCCCCTCCTCCCCAAAGCCCGGCCTCTCCGCTCGGCCCCAGCCTGCTCCGGGACTCAGAGTCCCCGATCGCGCCTCTCCGTGGTGGCGGTGGAGAGCCGGGACGGGTGGGGAGGCAGTCGGCGGAGGCCGGGCACTTCCGAGGGGAGACGGTTCCAGAAGGACTTCTGGCGCCCAGCAGGTTGGGTGCCGCAGGGCACACGCAGAGCCGTGTGCAACCTGGACGGGGCGTGCAGAGGGCCCTGCGGGTCTCCTGCCGCTGCTCCGGCTGTGCCCGGGCTCAACCGCAAGGTTCGATTTGCTTTTTGAGGCAAAGCCCCCATGGAAAACTTAAGCTGCCGCTAGTCAGCCGCGGGCGCCCCAGCTCCCAGCAGAGCCCGCTCCCACCTCCACTTGACCATCGCCCCCCACTCCGGCGCCTGCCTGTGCCCTCTCCTCCACTTTCCTCCTGCCTTCGCCCCGCTTGCTCCTGCCATCTCTCCCCCTGGCAAGTGGCAAACCACAGCTGGGAGCGAGGGACAGCCAGAGATGCATTTTCCTCCAGCAGCCCCCCCCCCACCCCACCCAGGGCGAGCTCCTTAGAGGTGGGGAGGACCCGTGGGGCCAGCCCGCCACAGGGGCGTCCCTCTGAGTCCAAGGGGGGGGGGGTTCCCCGAGGAGGAAGGGCCTCTCCAGTTGGGACTGAGACAGGAGGAGAGAGGGGCACAGGAAGGGTTAATCCTGGGCGAAGAGACAGGAGCTGGCGGCAGGGCCTCAGTCCCCCACCCCTGGAGCAAGCCACCGTCACTTCCACCCCACGGACCCCTTCCTGGACTTTGCTTTACAGCCTATACAGCAGGGGCACCGGAGGCGAGACGCTCCAGCTGGGCTCTGCCCTAGCTGCCTTCTGTGAAGTCCAGAGGCATGCTCGGAGGAACCTGGCCCTTTTTTTAAAAAAAAAGCCCAAACCCCGAGAATTATGTAAATTGAAAGGAAAGATCAGGCGCCCACCCCCAAAATACAATCTGGTATTAAATCCCAGATGGAAAACCAGCAAAAATCATTTCCCCCACTTTTCATTATTGTGTTATCATCGATGGCTATGGAATTCTGTAGTGTGCTGTTGAGGCTACGTGATGTGCTAACTTCTGAAAGCAGCTTGACATGCCCCAAAGAAATTGTTTCCTGCTTTCTTATTTCTACAATATGTAGAGAGCTTTCAATATTGTAGATACACAGGGCATGATCATCAGGGAACATTTATAAGTGCAAAGTGTTATCTCTAATACGGTAGAAGTGGGTCCTTGCACAGGGCAGTTTTGGTTTATTAAGTTAAATTAAAAGTGAATTATTTTAAAATGACCCACTTACCAGCTTTTCTTCTGCCACCAGATACCCCCATCTTTTCATTTCATTACAGGTGGAAATGACATTTTTAGGGTCCTCCATTATGTGTCTAAGCCACCTCCTGACATTTTTTAGTAGACGGCTTTTTTTCTTATGTATTAGGATATTTTTGTTATGAGGTATACGGAGATGAGAAAAAGCTGGTAAAAATACCGGCCTCGCAATTAAAGTGACTCTGGATACCAAAGTGAAAATAATCATCTGGTATTAATCAAGTTATGTCTCTGCTTCTTGTTGAGGAAAAATATAGTGACGATTTGCTTTCCTTTTCATCTAAAAAGCACTGTAAAATGTTGAATGTTCCATAAAAATTTCTACCCTTATGAGACAATTTTTGTTCAATTAATCAAAATGCATAGTTTCACGCTGGACATAGTTACATCAGAAAGAAAATTTGCTGCGGCCAGTCTAGCAGTGTTTTAAACAACCCTGCAGTAACATGTAGCAGACGATGACCTTGCACACTGCCTGAATCTTCAATAATATCATTGTCATTACTATTATTATCCGAAGTGTTAAATTGTCGCCAGAATCAATACAAGTCTACTTCTCCGAATATATTTTATCTCACTGTTGTTTTTAACATCTTTATTAAGAGGCCAATTAATTTCCAACTCATAGCTGCAGTGAAGTTTGCATATAAGAGGGCTTCCTGACTTTTTTTTTTTTAACAGTTTGTTTCTCCTTTTGAAAGAAAGAGGAGGAAAAGAAAATGCGTGTGAAATAAAGAACTTCGTGTTTAAAGTGGTACGAAACGATTCCCAATCTGATTTAAAAAAATAAAATATACCAAAATTCTGATTGCAAATCCCGGTCCAGCTGATACTTGTTTAACTTTTTTTTTTCAACTGAATATCAAGACTGATTTTTTTTTTTTTTTTTTTTAATTCTACCAGGATGGATAGCTGAGCCACCCGTCCACAGTCCCTGGAATTAGAGGAATTTTTCTAAGCGGGATACCAAGGCCTTGGTGAAGGAAACATCTTAATATCCTCGTTTGTTTGTCTGTTTTCTTCTAGATTTGTCGGTGTTAATGCATCTGACATCAACTATTCAGCTGGCCGGTATGACCCTTCGGTGAAGACCCCCTTCGATGTAGGTTTCGAGGGCGTGGGGGAGGTGGTAGCCTTAGGCCTCTCTGCCAGTGCCCGGTACACGGTGGGCCAAGCTGTGGCTTATATGGCACCTGGCTCTTTCGCGGAGTATACCGTGGTGCCTGCCAGAGCTGCGGCCCCCGTGGCCTCTGTGAAACCCGAGTATGTCACCGTGCCGGTGAGCGGTACCACCGCGTACATCAGCCTGAAAGAGCTCGGAGGACTGTCCGAAGGGAAAAAAGTTTTGGTGACGGCAGCAGCGGGGGGAACGGGCCAGTTCGCCGTGCAGCTTGCCAAGAAGGCCAAGTGCCATGTCATTGGGACCTGCTCTTCTGATAAAAAGTCTGCTTTTCTGAAATCGATCGGCTGTGATCGCCCCATCAACTATAACGCCGAGCACGTCGGTACGGTCCTGAAGCAGGAGTACCCCGAAGGGGTCGATGTGGTGTATGAATCCGTCGGGGGAGCCATGTTCGACTTGGCCGTAGATGCCTTGGCTACCAAAGGGCGCTTGATAGTCATTGGGTTCATCTCCGGCTACCAGACTCCCACCGGCCTTGCGCCTGTGAGAGCAGGAACCTTACCGGCCAAACTGCTGAAGAAATCCGCCAGCGTTCAGGGCTTTTTCTTGAACCATTACCGTTCTGAGTATCAAGCAGCCGTGGAGCACTTGCTTCAGATGTGTGTGGACGGAGACCTGGTTTGCGAGGTGGACCTCGGAGACCTGTCTGCAGAGGGCAGGTTCATCGGCCTGGAGTCCGTATTCCGGGCTGTCGATTATATGTACATGGGAAAAAACACTGGGAAAATTGTACTCGAACTACCTCACTCTGTCAACAGTAAGCTGTAAACTCAGAACGATGGCAGAAGTCAAAGGAGAAAGAAAACAGGCACCTTCTTCCTCAGAAAGAGTCGAATCGGTTTATTTTTGGTGGGTAATGGAGATCGTATCTCTTAAAAGGTGTTAACGAATGAGTTTCTCTCTCTCTCTCTCTCTTTTTCTTTTTTGCCCCTCCCCTGAAAAAAAATGCCAATAAAAACTTCCCTCGATGGCTCAGAGGTAAAACCGTTACATTCAGTTCTTTGGCCATAGACAGTCTCATTCCAGGCTTTATTGTTCCAGGGAATTAAATTAATTCCTGATGCAAGATCTGATCAAATCAGTATGCCTTCAGCTTGATGGGATATTAAAATCAGTCTTGAAAATAGTTCACAAATTCCTTACTTTGGGAGAGTTTGGTCTTCCGCTAACGAGCAGTTAATAGATAGGAGACAGGGCAGGAGGACAGCCATCTATTCTCAGAGTCCATATTCCCAGGAAATGGCCCTTCCTTTCTTATAAATCACCAACTATCTAAATGGAAATTTGGAGGAATTCTCCCAAAACTTTGATTTTTGTTTTTTTGTTTGTTTAGATCATTAGGAAAATGACTAAGTGAACACAGACCTATTTTTTAAAAGTCTCTGCTGTTTAATGCTTTACGCACAATTATCCTGGGGAGGCACATGTGGCATGGGAAGCCTCTCTCTTCCCTTAAGAAGCAAATTAGTGTTGAAAACCGATGAAGACAAAAGCAGATTTTGGAAAGGGGCTCTACGGAGATCTGGGGGTTACCTGCCCAGGAAGGAAAGGACGTGCTTCATCCACGGGGAGGGTCTGCACAACAAAACCCCCACCACGAGGGGAGACGCACTCTCTAGGCACACCGCCAGAGGCTGATAACAGCATCCTTCATAGGCCTGAGGTGGGATCCCTCAAAGGGCACCATGCGGAGGAGGGGCTTGATGGGATGGGAAATAATAAGATACTTGCTCCGTGTTGCAGACTTTCTTGGACACCGTGTGTTTTCTCTCTGATCACGGAAACAGAATAGCGTGCTTAGCGTGGAACGCTGTTCCTCCGTTCCCACTTTACTTCTCTGTGCCCTCGCTCTGTCGGGGATGAGGCGCTCCTGGGCACCGCTGCCTGGGGTCACACGTGAGAGTCCCGTCATGGGCCTTCTCTTGTGAGCCATGCCTACAGCCGACGTGCCTGCCCCCTCGCCTTCAGCTCGGCTTTCGCCGTTCCGTTGGAAATCCCACGGTGCCTTTCTGATCGAAGGCAAAGCTCACCAGATCCTTTTCTCAAAGCCTCTGGCCCCAATGTATCTAACATGCTAAATAAATAGGAACGCAATTAAAGATGCTCCGGGAAACCCGGTGACCATATTTAATTTTTCTTTTCCTCCCGTCTGAGGAGTGAGGAAATCCTACTGCTGAATAGCTGTTAGTATCTATTTTACAAGATTTACTCATTTTCAGGTACCTAATGTAGCTGCTAGCATGCATGCACAACAATACAATTTATATGGTAAATGGGACCAAATAATGGCTTCACTGAATGTTATGGCTGCACTGAAGGGAAATGTCACGGTAAATAGCTGCCAAATTATGGATCATGCCGAAGTGTCACAACTGCACTAAAGACAAATAGCACTAGAGGCTACTGCCACTGTGACGCTTTTGAGTTATGAAGAAGGGTAGAAGCCTGATGCAAGCCTCTTTGTGTCCTCATTATAGCAAGGGGTGACGAACGCAGGGTACAAGAAAAGCTGGCCCAATGTGGCGCTCGGTTATTAATCTGTCCCTTTCAGACCTAACAGCCACGGCCAAACGGAAGGAGACTTCGCCTCGCTTTTGGATACGCACACAAACACAGGGGAGGGGACAGGTTTTATGAATGTATCTGCACGGGAAATGACTGGTAATGGGAAAGCGCTGCGATCCAATCATCCCATCAAAGAACAGTCCCCGTGTGTGCTGCTCCCCGTGCGGATAGATGTGCGAAGTCTGAGCGGTAATGTACTTTCTCCCTTTGTCAAGGCGAGGAACCAGGACGCTGCCAGCTCTCGCTTCTTACAAACTGAAGTGCGTCCCGGTTTCTCTCATTTTAATGGGAGGGTAATAAATATGAAAGACCAGCATTTTAACGGATGGATCCCTGAAGCCACAGAATGGAAATTTATTATGTTTTGAAGGAATCGACTAAATTCAGCTATGTAAAAAAAAAAAAAAAAAAAAAAAAAAAAAAAAAAAAAAAAAAAAAAAAAAGACTTTTTTTTTTCAAACACCCAGGTTTAAAATAAAACATAATCTGAAATCCTCGTGCTCTCCCCCCCCCAAACTAAGAAACTGCAGGACATGCTGTTTTCATTTATTCGTAGAAAACAAGCATGAAGGATTCCGCCCATTCAGATAATGCCAAAAATATGTTTAAACTTTTTTTTTTCCTTATTCTTCTGAAAAATGATTTGTAAATTGAGGGTCATAGTTCAGCATCAGTTTCATCTTCTGGGATTATCGTTCAAGACCAGCGTCTAATGGGAGGTGAAATGGTGTGATGTTCTCAACACCTTTCTCCTGAACTGTTATCGCAGATCACAAAAAGTACATCCATAATTCAGGGCGATTGTCAGTCTTTGTTTTAGAGACAGGGCCGGGGCTGAATGATCATGGTGGATGAATTACTTCTCGGTTCTCAGGGTGGCCTTCTCTGCGCATCAGCCTTGAGGTCTCTGGCTGGGCAGACGGAGCGGTTGACTGGTAAGCGAGCCTAGAAGCTATTCTTTGCCGTTCCGTCGTGACTTCTAAAAAACCCAATGCCGTCCCTTCAAATTTGTTTTGCACGCAAAAGAAAAAAAAAATACCAACATCGTTATTTCGGGTCTCTCTGACAGTGAACTCTGCTATTGAACGATGTCAGCATCCAAAAAAAAAAAAGCTCCGGAAACTGGGAATAGTCTGCAAAGAAATGACACAGAAGTTTTGCTCGATATGCTCTATGCGTTGTTATTATATGATTCCATCTGGATGGAGTTTCCCAAGGGTACGATGGAGCCTTTATAAGTGGCCACTAGTAATCAGCCAGTATTTATCTAACGAAAGTGCAGTGACAGGTAGCTGCTGCTTATTAAAATGAAAATCCTACGGTATGTACTTAAGGAACATTCCAGCTAACGAGGAGGTAACGTCCTCCGTACAACACAGACCTTCTTTTTGTGTCCACGCCACAAGATGCTGGAAACTTGACAAATGATATCATTTAAGACACATGCCTGCCGTAGGGACCTGCTTTCTGGGTTCCTGTTTCTGGCTTTTATTTGGGTAACATTTATAACGGCCACCCGACTTGTAACGGGTAGGGTTTTAACCCCTTCATGAAGCTCCCAATTAGCATGAATTTACGACGATTGGGGTTTCCTTTAAAATGGGGAAGGGGGCGTTTAGGACTGAAAATATTTTTCTTGATCACTTTACCACATGTACACATGGGGTAAAGGCCGTATTTTAGAGTTATATAAAAACAGATGAGCCATGGGGAACTTTCAGGAAAAATACGACAGAAAAAGACCAAGCACAACCAACTGTGGGCGATACTTTCCTAGGGGCTACTGTGCACGTTCTGTGAATGTAACCCACATGTGATGTGGCCTGGTTTGATGGGTTCCTAATCGCTGCTCTCTATCCTCCTGCCTCTCTTCTGTTTTTAAACACCGTCTGTTATTGATAGCGCTTATTTAGAGACCCAAAATGTATCTTCGCAGACGTTGTTTTGGGGTTTGGGATTTGCTGGGGTTTTTGTGACAGTCAGATGTTCTGTAACTAATGTTTCAGTTATGGCCCAGAATTAAATATTTAGGATCATATTTCAGAAATCAAATGTGAAACGCTGGATTCTCGACACCATGGATGTGGGCGTGTCAAACTTTAAAATCGGTTGCTTAGCCTTACGTTATTTCAACCTGTAGAAAGAGGACTGTTTGATACGAGAACCTTATTGTTGTTACCATGAGCAAATGATAGGACACCGCCCCCCCCCAAAAAAAGTGCTACACAAAATACGTAAAGTATATTTTTACCCACATGTATCAGTCCAAGTAATTCTTGATAGTAGAGAGTTGATAGTCAAAGAAAGTCAAATAAGGTGTGTGCGTGAGGTCTGTATGTAATTCCTTCCTTCACGAGGCAGGAGTGCAGATGAGCCCTGACGGTAAGACTGAGCTGCTGCGAACACTCTCCTCCCATCTGTTCCCGAGGCCTCGGTTTCTGCCAGCGTGGACCTGCCCTTCAGTGCTCGCTGATGCTTCTCCAGTGGCATCGACACTCCCGGGAAGCATGTCTTGGATCCCTCCAGCACACGGGTAAGTGCCGCATGGAGTACAGTTTGGGGGAACCGATGTGTGCCTCGTATGTCCCGGG